AACTTTGTAGAGAAAGGTCTTAGCTTCAAAATTACGGCTTATTTTTTTGGTGTTACATTTCCATTTTTGGAGTTAGAAAAGAATCTACAAGGCCAATAAAAAGTTGTGGGACTAGGTGTCTTGCACTATAGAAAATTCAACATCAAAAATTATAGTTAATATATTCTTGTAATAACAATTATACTACTAATTATTAATCACTTTTTTTAGATCTGGTGGTGTACAATCAGAAAGAATTGTTACACAACAATCAAATTGATTATTATTATTATTATGTGATTACTATTATTATTCTTATTGTTTTAAATCTTTAATTTAATTTGATTTTTTCTATATATTTTAGAAAGGGAATATGCATATCCATTTTATTAATTAATTATTAGCAATTATTCAGTTATTTATCCGAACTTTATCCATTTTATTAATTAAATTTATTCAGTAAAGCTCAGTCATTTATCCAAGCTTTATCCATTTTATTAATTAAATTTATTCAGTAAATGCTCAGTCATTTATCCGAGCTTTATCCATTTTATTAATTAAATTATATCAGTGAAACCTCCATTTTTTATGAAAAATGGAATTTCCATAAATGTATCATATTCACAGAATCTATAAAAACATGGAAATGTATATTCATTAATATAAACGGAAAAACACTGAATTTAACAGAGATTAATCACGGAGTAAATTTTTTAAGGCTTGAAAGCCTGAAAAAATTTAGACACCCATCTATAATTGCAACTTTTTACAACAAAATGTAGTACACTTTTGTCCAGCATAGCGCACCATAATTAAAAATATTTGTCATAACGAATTTTTGGTGGGGTCTTTCTCGTCACAGCGAATTCACGTGACATAAATTTTTATCAAATTAAAAAATTTTTTTTCCTAATAAAACAAACAATCAAATAGATACAAAAACAATTGATAGATTATCCAAAGGTTTGCGAGTAACAAAATTTTACAAGTTCCAAATAAACAAACAATTGACAGATTATTTGCGAGTAACAACCTTTCCCAAGTTTCTAAAATAAATTAATAAACAAA